TCCTTTTCTATCCCCTCCTTTCTTGTCACCGTCTCCATCATCACCATCTCCATCGCCAGGTTCTCCACCTCGTCCTCCCTTCATCTGCACTACCACCTCTGTGAATCTGTTCACAAGGATATCTTCTAACCTATGTGCATGGTGAGCAGCTGTCTGTTCGATCTGGTGGAGGTTCGCTACAACGTAATTGTTCCACTTACTTTTAATTTCTACAGCAACGCGGGTCGCAGCGTTCCCCTAAGCGGGGTGAAGGACTGCTTCGGTGAGGAGGGCTAAACGGGCTTGAACGTCAATTTCCCCTTCCTGCTTCTCTTTCAGCTTTCCCCGGATTTCTTCTCCGTCCTCTTTCCCCCTTTTTTCCTCCTCAAACTCTCTCCTCTTCTGCACCACTAACCTAGCACTGATGGCGCTTTCCCGTTCCTCAATCAGGAGGGCTCTCTCATGAGGGTCGGCAGTTTGCAGTTTGGCCCGAAAGGCTTTCAACTCCTCCTCACTTTCATCGGCTGGCCTCTCCTTCAAAAATCTGAACCTGTCCAGCCACTCATGGGCTTCCTATTGCTGTTGGCTGCTTTCCCCTTCTTCATGATATCTCTCTCCCTGCTTTCTGATCCTCCTCCTCTTTGAAGACTTCATTCTCTTCTTCCTCGACGATCTTCCTCGCCTCCTCGCGCTTTTCTTTTTGCAACTTTTCTTCAATCCTTTTTCGTTCCTCTTCAAACTTCTTTTTCTCATCCTCCATTCTCTTTTCCATCTCCTCCTCCTCCTTTCTCAATCCTTCCGCCTTCTTCTCCCTCTGTTCCCGCAGCTTTGCGCCAATTTTAGCTTTGCTCCTCCGGGGAATGCGGCTGCGTGGACCTCCCAGATCTAGGTACTACTCCCAACCCGAAGGCATGGCGGAATCCCGGCGGGAAGAGCATGTGAAGGAGGGCCCCCCGTATCACATTGAGGGCCAAGAAGCTGAATGTAGGATAGTCATCCATGGTGAGATCTGGGCGCAGTCGATAGACTCCACCTCCTCACCACATAGACTTAACGCTCAAGACTTACCTCAACACTTAAGACTAATCCTGACCAAGATCGGGGTCCACTAACTCTACAACTTCTACTCCCCTTCTCCGCGTCCGTCACTACACTCCCTTGAAGAGCTGGTGGCCAACCAGCCGTTTAAGGTGCCAGCACAGACCTCGGGAATTATTTAATGATGCAAACAGGACGTCGTGGCCACCAGACAGGTTCATTCTCAAGACGTAAAGCCCCTCACTGCATCAGCACCGATTCACTCGCATGTCAGTCGATACCGGTCTTACGGCTAGATGGGTTGTTTTACGAGCGCCCGATGCTCATGCCCATGCTCCCTACTCTCAGGTGTTACATCCAGCTATCGAGCATCTACCTATCGACCTACCCCCTTCACTGCGTCAGCCCTGGTTCAGGTCCGTGCCGGTCAGTACCGATCATTGGGCTACCCGGGTTGTTTTATGAGCGGTCGCCGCTCATGTCCACGTCCCTAAATCACGGGTGATTCATCCAGCTAATGGGTTCACATGCATCCTCAACACGTAAGACAAGACTCACAGCAGCATAATCAAGTGTGACCAAAATGACGTCGATGGAAATGACTGGTTGCAGCAGAGATCTCCACGAAAGTTTGAGGAAGAAACCGAACAATAATAGATTGCATAAACGACAAGGGCCAGTGCAGGAAGCACTTCATCAGGCTTGATGACATCCTATTGCTGAAGCTCCTCGATCGCAGGTACGCGCTCGTCCTTTTCAAGCCACTTCCACTTCGGCCCTCGTTCCCACTCAAACCCCGATGCCCTTCTCTCAATTTATTTTTTTTGTTGCCCGCCGGCTTATCCCTTGCTAGTGCTGCTTCTCCAAGCGGATGTGGCGGGATCCAGCTCTGATACAAATAAAATGATTCGCTAGCCCCTCAGCTTCAACCTTGCACACACATGCAATGAGCATCCAGATGAGTATTCACACTTGGAACTGATAGCTGGACACAAATCACACAAGAGATCATCACGCAAATTGCCTTTATTATACAGAGAAAGTGTACATGTCACCTGTGGTCTCTGCCACTTACACAGTACCAGACTCGAATCAGATATGCAACCGCCTACTACTTCCTCTCTATCTCTCTTCCTCTCTCATGCTCTCTCTGGTCTTGTATTGCTCAGCCTCACTGTCTCTCTCCCTCTCTTCCTATCTCTGCTCTGCCTTGCATCGCTCCCTGAATACACCCGCTCAGATCAGACTCAGACCTTGGCGGCTATGGCCGCCCTACCTCTCTGCCACTACCCTAGCTATGGTTGCCTTCGGTGCTCCCTTCTTCTTCGAGCGCGGTCTTGCCCAAGTCACTTGGTCACACAAGCAGCAGCAGCACTTCTGCGACTTCACAAATGAACAACTGTGTCCTGTTGCCGCACTGTAGCAGTTAAATATAGGAATTGGACTTGGCTTGGCCTGCCTCAGACCGTTACCGGTCAGCCACGGCCTGTCTGTTGCAATCATTTTGTCGGTCCGGAATCTTCCGGGCTTTCCTGGGACTAGCTTTGTGGACTTCGGAACTGGACTTGGACTTTCCGCATTTTTCTGTGGGGTACCGGACAGGCTGTACAATGACTCAAACCTCTAGACTTTTCTTTCGGATGCTGAACCCTCAACCTCAACCTAACGTTTCGGGATGTTTCTTGGCTTTAGGCCTACGATGCCCTGAACTCGCCTAACAGACCCACACTACGTGAAGCCGGGACTTGGGACTTCGGACCTTTCTGGACTTTCGGGGATTTAGGGCCGACTTTCAGGGGTCTGCAGCGTGAAATCCTTTCAAAAGGCAGCAAGCACCTATTAAATGGCGGATGCCAGTAGGAGGAGGCTATGGTATATGGGCACGAGGTAGAAAGGGAGAGAGAGACTTGGGCGCTATTCTTGAGTGGTTACTGGTTGTTGCACCTCAGTGGAGTAACTGTGTACATAACTGGACAGTCGTAATAGCTTGTGGATGGTGTTCAGGACATTGGAGATAGGAGTGGCGTTGGGTTGAATGTTGCTACTACTCTGATCTAAGCATGGGTTTCATGAGTAACTGGAGTTGGTTGGTTGCTATTGCAATTTGAGTTGTTCTGGGCAGATACATGTATGGGCGGTACTTGGCAGGACGACAACAAAAGTATGTGGTTTCATAACAACAGGGCCAATGGCAAAGTGTTGATGAAGATGGCACAAGGAAGCATGTGGAGAAGAAGTGAATGGGGCTAGTTCACATGTGCGGACGGCGGCAAGGATGACTTGGATTGACAATGTGAGGATCAGAGGATGTCAGATGTTCAACTTCTGAGAAACAAAGGAAATAGAAGAAGTGGATCAATGCAGTCTGGCGAACAACATTTTCTGCATGGGCTTTGAGTATGTCAGCAGTGTCTGCCTGTCTGTCCGTCTGTCTGTCTGTCTCTGTATCTATCTATCTGTCTATATTTCCATCTGATGTCTCTCTGTCTCTCTCTCTGTCTACCTCTATCTCTCTCTCTCTCGCTATCTCTCTCTCTCCTCCCCTATCTATCTTGTCTGTCTGTCTTGTCTTGTCTTGTCTTGTCGGTCTGTCTTGTCTTATCTTGTATGTCTGTCTTGTCTTGTCTTGTATGTCAGTCTTGTCATGTCGTGTATGTCTGTCTTGTCTTATCTTGTCTGTCTGTCTGTCTGTCTGTCTGTCTTGTCTTATCTTGTATGTCTGTCTTGTCATGTCTTGTCTGTCTTGTCGTATCTTGTCTTATCTTGTC